CAACCTAATAAAGCTATTTTTAAGAGGTTAAAAGAAAATCTCATTAATAGTGGGTCCTTCAACAAGTCAAGACAACAAAATCAGATATTTATATCTAATTTTATAATACATTACAACTACAAATTAAAAATTCAAATTAAAGTAAATGTTCAAACTGATGTCAGTTATGTTCGATAGATAAATTACACCTCTTCATAACACTCTAAACTGCATTATAAATATGAAGATTTCAAATGGAATTCACACAATCTATAAAATTTTGTCCGAGTTCATTTATGTCGGTACTGGTTTTCTGTATAATTTGTCTTTAATATGGTCCCAAAAGAAAAAATCCAGTGGCATTAAGTTAGGTGATCGTGGTGGCCACCTCATTGGTCCGTTACTTCCCATCCTGTTATTTCCGAAATTGGTATTTATTAATTCTGAAACCATCCTGATATTATGAGGTGGTTCACCATCTTGTTGTACCTGTTGAAAATTCCTGCACTGCTAATGTAGGCTTCATCTGTCCAAACTACATTTCTAGAGAAGAGTGGGTCTTGTTGTCTTTTTTGACGATACCATATGCAAAACCCAATCGTCGCTGAAGATCAGTTGGTTGCAGGTGGTGTTGTTTTCTTATTGTATAAAGCCTGAATTTGTCTGTCTTCAAAATACCCAAAGCTCAACGTCTTGAAATCCCAGAATCAGCTTCAATTTGACGACTTGAAATTGAAGGATTTGCAATTACAGTTTATAGAAGCTTCTTTAGCATCTTCAATGTTGTAATTTCTTGGTCTTGGCTTGTTGAAGGACCCACAATTAATGAGATTTTCTTTTAACCCCTTAAAAATAGCTTTATTAGGTTGTCTTCTTTCTGGATAGCGATTGAAATATATTTCGGATGCAATATCACAATTGTTATTACTTTGAATAAAGCATTCTAGCATATCATATTTCTCGTAATTTCGTAAGATATCTTCACTTTTACGATTAAATGGGGTGTTATTATGACGGAAACAAAATTATTAATATGTAATTTACTGACAAACTGTCATAGATGACACACGCCTACATGGAATAAATATAAAAAAACGCAAAAAGTAATCTACTAAAAGATTATTTTCGCTAGTAAATACGTACACATCAAAAGCGACCCCACATATGATATATAGTTTAAAATAGAAAAAAAAAGTCCTTTTTAAATAAACCATAGGCAACTATGATTCTCATTTAAAAAAATACAACTTTATGCCTTAACTCGAAATTGCATTTTTTTTAAATTTTTTTCGATGCCACTGTATTATACAAAAAAGTGCCTGAAGAATGTAAAAGTTGTTTTTTCATAATATTACAAAATACCAAGATATTGACATGTGTCTAAAAGTCACAAAATCGAACTTTTGTTTCCGCCAGTGAATTTGTCTCAAGAAAGGGATCGAGAAGGTGTCTTACATTTTTTGTATCTTTTACAGTTCTCAAGTTACCCTATACAAACATCGAAATTTGCCCACTCTGTACAATGGAACTGACTTTGTAATATTTAAATTCTGTTAAAATTGTGGATAACCAATGAATACAACATAAAAAACGCCGGCTTCTTTAATCCTTTTACCGCCGTAAAGGACGCCGCCGCTTTTTATGTTGTATATTACGTTTGAAACAAACTATACCGAAATGTACGAAATCGTAGAACAAGCTAAAGTAAAGCAGTTGAAATATGTATATTGTTGTACATCAATGATACTTAGGACTTACGATGTACACTATACATCGAGAATTTCCATGGACATACTAAGGATGCTTTTTGGACATAAAATGGACGTCCGATGGTTGTATTGTGCAATATGGGTTGTAGTATGAGAGCCTACGACCAACCTTTTTGTCTTATAGTATCCCGGCCAAAACCGTATAAAATAAGTTTGAATGGATGCTTATGTAATACCCAATAATTATTTTGTTATTTTCTTCTAGAAATGCATAAGTACGAAGCAAATAAAAGTAAGATTTTTTAAAATATATGAAAAGAATGGGCTCATTTAGGTTAGGGTGGATGTCATGAATGTCATTGTGATTACCAAAGTTACAATTTATCTTTCAATTTAAAATGTCAAAACAAATATGACAAATGCTAATATTTTGAATTTTGTATTTTAAATATGTTTATATGTTCGTATTTACCAGCCTTCTGAGGAATTCCGGAAGAATGAACGACGACATTCCTATATCGGACTAGGGGCTTTCGTTTTTGTATTGTAACTGGAGGGAATCTTTTTTTAAGTGTAAAAATTTATCTTTTTGGTGTCAATATTTTTTTAATATCAATATTTTTCTGCTTTTATATTATCCCATTCAGATAAGAATGAAAAATATGAAAAACTATAGGCATTTATTATTATCATGTTTGGTTTGAAACGATGCTTATGTAATAGGTAAAAGTATTTCAGATATAATTTAAGTGGCTACCTAAAATAATTATTAAGGTTATACAATTTTAAAGTAACTCTCAAAAAGTCCATCAGATTTTATTTCATCACCACCAAATTTCGAAGTGAGATGTCTGCAGGATCATAGACAAGAAAAATATTAAATGAGCAGTTAGTCATTGCGTTAGTCAATGTGTCGCGGGTACAGAGCGTAGGAAGCCCTGCTAATATGAATTTTTTTTAATGTTCTCAAGAAGCGGTTCGGCTTATAAACTGGAGATTCTTAATACATTTACTCAAATAAATTACCCATTTGTCTTGCTGTTAAAAAGTACACATACAATTTGTAACTTTTAAATTACCAATTATTATTATTATTAATCTTGAAAATAAATTAATATAAGTATGTTATAAGATCGTCTTCAAACAATATACACATATTTTCCGAGTATTACGTTACTTGCTAATCTGAAATTAACAGCAAGTCGTTATATTCAACTACCAAAACGTTGCTAATAAAATTTTTGTTATTCCATTTTAATTTTCCAGCTAACTATCAACAATAATAAAATGTTTTATCTAATTGTTATGCCAGCCTTGGCTGAAGCGACGACGACATCGTGAATCATGGAGTAGTCATTTATGGTTTGTATGTAGGAGTCTGCACAAATTTGGAGTATTATATTTATAATGCAAATGCGTGTGTACATCCGAAACTGCAACAAAAGATGAGTAACCTGGTAATAACTTTATTAAATTTATTTCGTAGACTTCCTTTGTAATCGTTGACACTATTGTAAATATCACTAAGCCTGTACATCTTATAATGCTCAAATTATTATCTATTGTTATATAACTACAACACTAATTTGACTTCGTTAAATACGTGTTACAATGTTTATAATCTGAAAAAATTTATTATCATCGTAAAAATCCAGATATTCATTTTACGACAAAGTAAACTAAAAAAACTGGGAAAATTGTACTCGCAACAGATTTAATAGAAATAAACAAGTTCAGTTTTAATTGGTAATAAATTTATTGTTTCACAGTCAATTCAATTCAGAGACAGCTTCTATCCAATTCCAGGGCAGGACTGCTCACATAGGAAACTGGAAAAATTACCAGTAGGCCCTGGGTCCCAACGAAGACTAAAATATAGTTTGACATACATAAGTACAATCAAAATTAACTCTTTTTGTATGTCTATCCTTTAATATTCGTTCATTCACCTAGTAAACACATATAAAATGTTATCACAAAAAAATTATACAGGGTGCAATTTTGTATTTTTTATGGATTGACGAATTGGCATGAGGAAACTTTCTTATTTTCATCAAGAATGATTGTGTGTCGTACATTCACAAATATCTCGACAAATATATATGATATGAGCACTTAATTACTCATAACATCAAGAAATGTAAGAATAACTGTATTTACGATATTTAAAAAATATATTTTTTTACATCATTAGGGAAAATTGAGCTACAAAACTGATAGCGACTTAAACGCAACCAATGACAAACTGCTACAGGCGGTAAAATTATTTGCATTTTTCCCCTAACAGGTCTATTTGCGATGCAAAAAGGTCTAATTATGCCTGTTGCAACTTGTTTTTTAATTATTATCCGTTTCTAACTCAGAAACGGAATTTCAACAATGTTTTCTTTCCGATGCTTAAGAGCAGAATACTATTTTTATGGTAGGGACTAGGGAAAGGATCTGTAAGTTAGTCCTTAGAAGTAGTATCTAATATCAAAAATATTTTTTAGATGTTTAAAAAATGTATTTTCTACAGTTTCTTTTAAATATTCTTGAAACTTGGTGACATTAAAATTAAATGTCAACTTGACAAAACATTCAAAAAAATATTTCCAATATCTAAGAACAAAGTTATAGGACTTTACAAGAAAATTGTCTTCCAAACGATCGCATAATTTGCTAGGTTATAATATAATATACTTACTTATGATAAATTTTAAAACAATTTACAATATACAGTCCATAATTATTAATTTATAATAATTAATAAATAATAGTAAAAAAGTAGTAAAAAGTACATAAATGGCGATACGACAACTTGTAAATAAATAAATGATAAGAAAAACTAGTCTACAAACATTAAACCTTGTTTTCGAGCTTAGTAAATTACACTAGTGTAAAATATTTATGTATACATATATAGGATATAAAAACAGCAATTAATAACATATAAACAATAGATAAGATAAAAATGTACTAGAAATATAAATTGTTGCAACTTTTATATAAATATTTTAGACACAGAAATAATAAATTAGATGCCAAACAAACAACACAGAAAAAACAACCTTCATGATTTTTATTAAGGGACTCATCTAGCAACAACTTACAATGACCGACACGAGAATAGCTTGTTGCCAATAATATATCGTCGTCGTCGTGATACACACATTTTTTTTAAATAAACACCACAGGTAATACAACCCCCTGTATCCCTTAAGGTACTTCAAGGTATATTGTATGGGAGAGGGCTACATATTTAGGAACAATGGACACACACTCAATGTTCGAATATGTTAGGATTAATTTCTGGTTTAGCAAAAATCCTAGCTACTAGACCGGGGATCGAACCCGGGACTCCTGGGTAAGAAGCCAGTATCCTTACCACTCGACCACGAAGCTACTCTAGCAACATGCAGATTTTATTATGTTTTTCAGTTAGTGAAAATAATACAGAACGCATGCATGTTGAATATTTTTTTTAAGGTCGTGTTATTCAGTTCTGAGTTCTGTGTATATCCATACTCGTATATTAATACAAAAGTTAAGCAACGGAAGACGCAGTCAGTAACTTGGATGGTGACCCAAGTGAATCTTGCGATCGTCCCGTCTTCTAGCGATTATATATCAGCATATACACAGAAGCTATGCAATCTTAGAGCCGGTTAACACGGTGTGAAATGTTCTGTCGCGGGAAATTTTGCGCCGCGCGCCAATATTCATTGGCTTGAAGATGACCTTGGATGGCAGGGGTCGGAAGTTTTACTTTCTTTTACCCTATCGCATCGCTGTAGGCCTAGACCAACCTCGTAAGGGGCGGGCCTGCTCCACCGGCAACGCCGTCCGCTGATGCGAACGGTATGGTAGTTTTGGCAGACCTCCCCCGGTCCTGGTTTGTTGGACCCAGCCGATTTGGGCCTTTCTCTTCTGGCGCTCTTCTTGTTTCTGTTTTCTTTCTTCATCGGCTGTCTGCTCCCGGGAGCGTCATCATGTCGCGGGCAGAGCGACTGTTGTCGTCCTGCCCTGGGAGTTTGTCGGATTTGGGATGTTCCTACCTGTGTCTATCGGCCGTAGGTGAAGGTAGAGCTATTTAGCTCAGGACACGCAAGACCTAAGCGCTTTACTTCAGCGCTATGGGCCCGCACAAGGCAAAGGAGCGCGACTCCGATCCGGCAGTCGGCCGGTTTGGTGCCGCGTGGTAGGTGAAGGGTGTTGGGGTATGTCTGTGTCTCTTCTGAGTGGTCGGTCTTCACGGCCGGGCTGAAGGAGAGTTGCCTCGGTTAGCCGTTGTCCAGAATCTGTAGCCTCGGTCTCTTGTAACGCGGAGCTTCTGCTGGATCATAATCGACAGCTCGTCTGATCAGCGGAAGATCTTCTTGGCCCGATCCGTGAGGAATCTCGAGCCATCTGAGTAGTCTCAATTAAAATGTATGCGCTACCAGATCGAGTTGGGACGAGAAATTTCCCAAGACAGAAAAATCTCGTACCGTATGAACCGGCTCTTAGTCGAGGATTCATTTCTCGGAGGGGATGTACAGCAGTCGGTCGCTTGTCCATAAGATGTTAGGCAAGTAAAAAATCTCTACTCTTCGATAGAAAACAAGTTCGGTAAATTGTCCAGGTTAGGGGTAGCTCATCTCCTGACATCGGTGATTGACCCTGGTAGCGGAAATAGACCGACGTTAAATAAACGATTAAAAAATACAATTAGGAATAGGCTGACTTCATAAATAGTAGATATCCTTAAGGATTTCGTGGAGACAAATTGGTCATTTTGGAAACGTATGAAGAACAAAACATCCTCTAGGTCCATTTTTCCAGTTTTTTTTTATCTTTTTTTGAAAACTGAGTTTTTCGCAAAAAACGAATACAGACCAAAGTTGGAGAGCATCAAATTTCCAATTTAATAGTGTGTTGCGGGTGAGTATAACATTTAACCTTAGGCCAACAAGAATGTTTGATTACGAGTTACACATCAGATTTAAACGGAAAGGAAGTAGGATTTTTCCAGAAAACATTTTACAGTGTTTGCTAAAAAACCCACATAAAAAAGGATTTTTTTTATTATTATTTACTTAGAAAGAAATATATGGAAGACCCAAAACTAATGAGCTGTCAATAAAATTTTCACGTGACTTTCGGCATCGTTCTCATTAAAGTACCAAGAAATATAGCATTTCTTAAAATCGGGAAATAGATCATCCCAGAGGCTTGCAAAAAAAATTACGATAAAAGATATTAACTTTAGAACATTATTATTATTATTATCATGAAACAAGACATGTTTATTTCTGTATATTTTATCCATGTGTCTAGTAGATATCATCTAATCATTAAATAAAAGCATTCGATTAAAATTAATGAGTAGGTCAAACAGGTATTTTTAGTTTTTAATTTCGCAAAGTAAATGTGGTATATTTGAAAATAGATTTGTTTACAAGCAATACAGTTCATCATTTTTATATTTCTATAAACTTAAACATAACCCTATTATAAAAAATATATTGTATTCCATAATCCAATATGTATAATTTACAATACAATAAATTAATTATGAAACTTAAAAATTAATTATGAAACTTAATGCAAAAATAATCTATGTGGGAGCAATCGCATGGTTTTATTAAATGCTAAAAACAGTGACGCTACGAGTGTTAAAAATAATCTCTTCTTCTTCCGAAGATTTTATTAATTAGGGAACGTTTACCACTTTTTTGGAAGTTCTATCTTTATGAGTAGGTATTGTTGACAAAAATAAAACGAAATATTAATTTTCTAGAAAAAATTGTGAAATAAGTGGCTTGGTTTCATGCATATTCGGCAAACCTAACCTTTGAATAAGATTACAATATGTTTTCATGAAAATGGTAAGGAACTGTACAGATTTCCACAACATTATATAGGAACTCATATTTTAAAGAATTAGTTACTCTACCTCGTATATTTGACATCAATAATTTGTTTCTCTACAAATTCGAATTCAACAGAAAACATGTCATAGAATAAGATTTAAAATTTTTGCTCCAACTCAGTATGAAAGCTAGGAAATAAAGTAACTCCATCTAAGAACATTTAGAAAAATAAAATAGATTATCATTGTCTGTTGACGACGAAGGACAATTGATTTACGGCAATATCACAAAAGCGACTTGGGCTACTTATTTATTTTCTTTGTTGGTATGCCATCGAGGACTGGCATTTTAATTTGTTTTCGTTTTACTTTTTATATATTGTATTGTACTATACAACCAAAGTAGTTTCAAAACAGTTTTGAGTGATCCTCTTCGACTGTGCTATTAAATTTCCCTGCCAACAAGATTAACTGTCTAATTACAAAATAACTGGTAGACGGAAATGGAGAAAAGGAATTTCTGCCGTTTCATCTTATTACTTCCGATTAAACCGCCTCTTCATTAGAACTACTAATACACACGAATTTTTCGAATTATTCCGTAGTGACCACTTGTATACTTACTATTTCCAAGTTTATTTCATATTTAAATTTTTGATACTATTAAAATTGTTATTAAAACCTACCCTAAAATATATATATATATATATATATATATATATACATATATATATATATATATATATATATATATATATATATATATATATATATATATATATATATATATATATATATATATATATATATATATATATATAGGGTGGGGCAATAGTGCGTCGGACCTCGGTATCTCGAGTTCTACGATAGCTAGAAATTTTTTAAAAAATTGCAAGTAAACTAGATAAAAAAGTCTATAACTGGAAATTATTTTCGAATATACAGGGCGAGCCAAGACGAAATTATAGGTCCAAGTGCCTTTTTTTTTTTTTAAATGGAATGCTATGTATATCAGTACATTTTTTGAAGCCTCTTTCTAGGCTCTATTACACTAATACACTACGATTTGCGCTCCCAACTGAGCGCAGTCTGAATTTTAGTCTTTACACTGTTATGAAACAGCCTTGTTGAACATCATAAATGATATCTTGAGAGAAATAGGTCAGAAAAAAGTGATAGTATTGGTGCTCCTTGATTATTTGAAAGCATTCGACAACATAAATTATGAAATTATGATCTCTGTACTTAAATACGTGGAATTATCTGAAAATGCCCTAGCATTCTTTCAAAGTTATTTAAGTAATCGATTTCTATGAGTCAAAATTGATAACAAAGTATCTGCTCCTCCTAGGGTGTCATGTGGTGTTCCCCAAGGTTCACACTTAGTCACTTTGTACACTTTGAAATTGTTATTACGCACTGCAAAATAAATTTTTATGTAAATGATACGCAGTTATACCCCTCTTTTTTCCCTTGCGATGTAGCACAAGCAATTGCTGATATTAATGAGCATCCTGTAGCGTTAAGAGAAAAATCAAAATGTCACTCATTATATCTATCAGTCACTATGACATTAGTGACATTAGCACTGACCACCAGAGGGATACACTTATCATTCACTATGTCTGTCTTGCTTAGTCTGCTTTAGGCTAGCCTGGTTTGCTATTATTATTTGTATTTTCCATTATTTATGGCATACTGACGAGAACATAACAAGTTCGAAACCGGTATATGTCTAGTGAGGAATTGACCAAACAAGACTCGCAGGTTTAATTCAATGCAGGTCGGATCTTTTGTCCGCTGAGGAGTTGTTTCCTGTAAGTCTTATTCAATATATACTTTAGAACACCAAGGTTAGAGGTCGCAGCTCTTGGTACCTGCTTTACAGGTCACTATCAGTCACTATGACATCAGTGATGTCTGAAGGGTAGTAGCACTGACCACCAGAGGGATACACTTATCACTCACTATGCCACTCATTAAATATTAATACCAGCAAAACATCAGTTATAGTCTTTGGGCCTAAAAATATAAAATCGGCTGTGTCAAACAATCTACAGGTAACTGTAGAAGGCCAACAAATATCACCAGTCGAAAGTGTGAAAAATCTTGGCTTAACCTTTGACACACATTAAAGATTTCCGTAAATCAACTTGGCTACTTTGGTTGCTGTTTTAACGTTCCGTAAACCTCAAATTGCTGAAAGTCTGGTTACTTATAACTTACGGTCTGCCAAACTTGGTACTTTAGCTATCACCAAAACGACTGACGTTTTTAGTCGGTAGTGTTAATAAGTTTCTGGGGAATTTATTTCATTCTGTCATTTGTTATTTTTTTCCTTATATTGTGTTTATCTATTTTTATCCAAATGGACTCGAATGCAGTAGTTTCATCCATTTTTAAGGTAATACGACGTATGTACATTGTAAATAACCTTTATACCTTACATTTAAAACTGACGACCACACAAAACATCATCGTGAATAAATGATGACAGGCGTTCCGTAAATAACGCTGTAATCAACTACTAAGAAAAAACCACTGTCACTTTTTTTCAGTT